CTTAATTAATCTTACGGTGATCAAGAGCCATTATGGCTCCTAAATGTGATCGAAGATGATTGCTATTTTTTGGGTGTACATATGAGGCTATCAACTTGATGTAAGATTTTGTTCACTCTTGGGCTGTTTGCAAATTATTTTTTTCTAAAATCACTTAGCCTTTCCCTCAAAAGTCACATGAATGTGCCATGTGCTCTAAAGTTAACTGAATTGTGGAATACAAGTTTATTGTTTGATTTAAATTGTAAATATATTAATGGGAGCCTCGCTTTTAGCCCTGGCTAAATCTATATATTAAAACTATTCATAACATACTAACTCTGGGCGCAGCTGGAATTGACTGATGCATAACAATTTCAAGGTTAGAATAGTGAGACTTTTTGGGTCAAACAAGACTTTCATTTTGGTCACATGCACATCCGGTGTCTAAATAAGTTACTTCTTTCATTTCTGTTCTGATCAAGGTCATGACCCTTGTATGGCTTTTCCCGAGTGAATCCGTTCGTCGAAGAAACTGATTTGTCACTTGAAATAAAGGATCGTCATGCCCATCAAACATCATTTCGGTAAAAGTGAATGGCTAAAAATAAACTTAACAAAGACCATGCACAGCTTCTGTCACATTGTGTTCCGCAAAGCTTACACGGCTTACGCGGCTCTGTCTGACTGTGCCCCAGCACACAACAACGAAACTATGATTATTTCGCTTTAGTAGCAAGTAATCTACAATAACCAAGCACTACTTAAGAATGATTAAAAACAAAACTCACCTAAAATCATTTCCCGAATCCAGCCGACGATCTGATATCAGCGGTGCGAAGTTTTCGTTACATGTTACGTACACAAAAAAAGCGATCGATTATGCTTCCTCACAGTCGCGCAACAAGTGACGTTTCTTAAACTTTTGCGCTAAAGGTTAAAACATGTTTTGAATCCGAAGATTCTTCCTAAAATTACAATCAGGGGCCGGTTGCTCGAAGCCTGGTTAGCGCTAACCGTTGGTTAAGAGGTATCAAAATGTATAGGTTTCCATGGTATTTAACGCTGGTTAGCACTAACCACGCTTCGAGCAACCCGGGCCAGAGCTAACAAAACCCAACACTATACAAGCCGTTAGTTTCAATTTGAACCGCCCTCAAACCGGTTTGCCTTGCGACCGCGCCTGTAATTCGAACATCACTGCTGACCATTTTTACAGCGTGAGCGCTAACAAACCAATCGATCTTTGATCGAGTAATCAACAGCCACCATAAAGGCGAGTTTCTGGGGAATTTACAGTGCTGTAATAGTTTTACAGGGAAAAAGATTGTCAGCTACATCAAAGCGGAAGATGGACCAGTCTTTACAGTGTACAGTGAGGTACGATATGTAGCGAAGCATTGTAACAGATTAAAGCTAACAAGATACTCATATACTGTACGTGTAATATTTCCGTACAGCCATATTCAGATCATATTTTACGCACTTAAGCTTACACGTAAGCTTAAGTCTTATGTTTCGATTCCCCTCACATCAACTCCACAAAAAAATGGTTAACAGTCCGGGCCATAACCATTTCTGGATACTCGATGACGTCATCAATAATGGCTTCTGGTGCGGACTTCAAGGAAACTCATTAGGGACCTTAAGCAGCGACGACGAAGCGGACGACGACGACGGATTGTACCGCGTAGAGACTGGGACAGAATAGCTCGTTAACGGCAAGGAAAAGGCGGGAAAATAAAAACTTAAGCTTTACTCGACGTACGACGTGAACGTAAACAAAAGCGCTGCAGTTTTTTGGTAAAATGGTTAATTTTCATGAGCTTCAAGAGCTTTTTCTCCTAAGTCACGCTCATGGCATTATGGATGACGAAGAGCTGCTGATTTTGTACAAGGAGTATTGGCCAAAAAATCCCAACTTTTGCTATGAGAATTACGAAAGGTTTTCTCTTGATGACATGAACGATGCAGAGTGCTTGGCCGAGTTCAGGTTCAGAAAACACGATCTTCCACTTCTCGCCGAGGTCCTTCAAATACCAGACAGTTTTACTTCTTACCAAAGAACCGTAACAAGTGGAATGGAAGGACTTTGTGTTCTTCTTAGAAGGTTATCTTATCCCTGCAGACTCAGTGATAGTATTCCACGATTCGGCAGACCAGTACCAGTCCTTCGTATGGTCAGCAATCAAGTACTTGACTATATATATGACATTCACGGCCACAGAAGCACTCAGTGGAATCACCAAATTCTCTCTCAGCCCTTGCTGCAACTGTATAGCGACACTATTGCTGCCCAGGGTTCTGCCCTAGACAACTGTTTTGGCTTTGTTGATGAGACTGTTCGTCCAATTTGCAAACCTGGAGAACATCAAAGAGTGGTCTATAACGGGCACAAAAGAGAACATGCTCTGAAATTTCAGTGTGTTGCCCTTCCCAATGGTCTAATAGGTCATTTATATGGACCAGTAGGTATGAAATTGTTACCTTTGATTTCTTCTGCTTTGATGATTAGTTTTTTTTCTTTCTAATTTTCAGAAGGAAGAAGACACGATGCAGGCATGCTGGCAGATTCAAGACTCCTTAATGACCTCCAAGCATTTGCAAACTCCCCTTTTGGAAATCCATACTGCATTTATGGTGATCCGGCATACCCTTTAAGGATACACGTTCAAGCCCCTTTTAGGAATAGAGTCTTAACCCCTCAAATGATGGATTTCAATCGATTGATGAGTAGTGTCAGAGAATCAGTAGAATGGCTATTTAATGAAGTCACAAACTACTTTAAGTTTCTGGACTTTAAAAAAGATTTGAAAATTGGTCTCAGTAGTGTGGGCAAAACGTATGTAGTCAGCGCTCTCCTAAGAAATGCCCTTACATGCCTCTATGGAAATCAGACCTCCAGTTTTTTTCAACTGGATCCTCCTTCACTTGAAGACTACTTTTCCTAA